TCCACCGCCGACACATTCAGAATACCGTTCGCATCTATGTCGAAAGTCACTTCGATTTGTGGCACTCCACGTGGGGCCGGAGGAATCCCCGACAGCTCGAACTTGCCCAACAGATTATTGTCACGAGTCATCGCACGCTCACCTTCATACACTTGAATCAATACTCCCGGCTGGTTGTCCGAATAGGTCGTAAACGTCTGCGTCTGTTTCGTTGGAATCGTTGTGTTGCGTTTAATCAGAGTAGTCATCACTCCGCCAGCCGTCTCCAGACCCAACGACAGAGGAGCCACATCCAACAGAAGCAAGTCCTGCACAACTTCCGATTTATCACCACTGAGAATCGCAGCCTGAACTGCAGCACCATACGCAACCGCCTCATCCGGATTGATCGACTTGTTCAACTCCTTACCATTGAAGAAATCCTGAAGCAGCTTCTGCACCTTCGGGATTCGAGTCGAACCACCCACCAACACAATGTCATGAATCTCACTCTTGTCCATCTTCGCATCGCGCAAAGCCTTCTCCACCGGATCAAGCGTACTACGGAACAGGTCCGCATTCAGCTCCTCAAACCGAGCACGTGTGATCGACGTGTAGAAATCGATACCCTCGTGCAACGAGTCAATCTCAATGTTCGCCTGCGCACTCGAACTCAAAGTGCGCTTAGCACGTTCACACGCCGTCCGAAGGCGACGGACAGCACGTTTGTTCTCCGAAATGTCCTTCTTGTGCTTGCGTTTAAACTCTTCAATAAAGTGACTCACCATCCGATTATCGAAATCCTCACCACCCAGATGCGTGTCACCGGCCGTCGACTTCACTTCGAATACACCCTCGTCGATGGTGAGGATGGAAACATCAAACGTACCACCACCGAGATCAAAGATCAGCACATGTCGCTCACCTTTACCCACTTTCTTGTCTAGCCCGTATGCGATCGCCGCAGCTGTCGGTTCGTTGATGATACGCAAAACATTGAGGCCAGCAATGGCACCCGCATCCTTCGTCGCTTGACGCTGGCTGTCGTTGAAGTAAGCCGGAACAGTAATCACAGCATCCTTCACTTTCGTGCCCAGATACGCCTCGGCTGTCTCCTTCATCTTTGTCAGCACCATCGACGATATCTCCTCTGGCGAGAACGTCTTGATCTCACCTTTGTACTCCACACGGACCTTCGGCTTACCACCTTCTTGGACCACTTCAAATGGCCAGTGCTTACGGTCAGCTATCACTGATGGATCATCGAATCGCCGACCGATCAGTCTCTTGACATCGAACACGGTGTTGTTTGGGTTCATTGCGACTTGATTTTTAGCGGCATCACCAATCAGTCGTTCGGTATCCGTAAATGCAACATAGCTGGGTGTTGTGCGATTTCCTTGATCGTTGGCGATTATTTCCACTTTTCCATGCTGGAACACTCCGACGCATGAGTATGTCGTACCCAGATCGATTCCAACAGCCGGCATCCTGAACCAAATTCGGCAAGAGAAACTCACGGAAGGAACAAATTAGCAGAAATGGCTGCGGTCGACGGGTACGCGTTCGCTTATATACCGTTTACTGCTGCTACGGTTGTCTAGACGACCTCGAAAGTCTGGATTGGCCTAGGCCGGATATTCTAAGCCAATAGCTGATCGGCCTTTTCAGTAGGCTGGATACTTTTGGCCAATGGTATGTTAGGAGTGCGGTTAACCTTCAGCCGTTTGCTGGCCCAGGTGGCCACATGACGTGTTTGCACGCTGAGGTGAATTCTCGAATTCAGCGGTGGGTTTCGTTCTTGACTGTTTTTTTTATCCTCCTAAACCACTGTAATGTGTCGAATTGCTGACACCAAGCTTTTTCATTTAATAGGAAAGTGTTTGGAAACGGATAGAAGAGGATTGCTTCAGTTCCAGTAGCCATGAGCGTCAATTGCTGTTGATGCGTCTGATGAATAGTTGCGGTTTAGTAAGCATCTGAATGCTTTCTTGTCGTACATTTGTTTGCTTGATACGGAAGAATCGTCAGGTTATTAGGTTGGTTGGGGTTTAAGGCAAACTGGGAACCATTTAACGAGATCGCTCCCAACTAGTCGAGTAGATTACCATCTAGTGTCGGTGTCGTTGGTAGTCGACTTAGTACCGTGCGGTGATGTGACGAAGATGTGAACTCTACTTTAATTTAGTCGTTACCCAAATTAGCCAATCACCGGCGATGGGCTTGAACCTAACTTTCTCGGGGTTCTATACCCTAGCAGCGCACGCAGTCCAAAAAACCGGGTTTTCTGGTTATATGACAGTCATATAACCGTCTACTAACCACATGTTATGGTCAGTTGGTGGTTATTTGCACCATCGGAACCGATATCTAGCCGATTTTGTGGTTATCTGAGGGTTAAATAACCGACTGTGAATCTCGTTTGTATTTCATATACCCGACTGATAACCTTCAAATAACCATGTTTCCCGATGATAAAGCCGTCATCAAGCCGCATTTGTACGTTAATTAATGGTGGTATAACAGTATTTTGCCGTTATTAGGCTATTAATTAGCCGCGTTATTACGGCCTTACACCATACGTAACCACGAAATAACCGTATTTTGCGGCATCAGGGGCGCTGAATAACAGCCCCAGAACGTAGTTCTTCCTAACTCGGCTATTTGACGGTTATTCATCCACTTATTCGCCGAGTTTTACGGTTAACTAACCGTGAAAAACGGTTTTCGGGTTAATGCGCGGTCGCGTAACTGCTTCCTATAGGTATTCTTCAGTCACATGGTTGTTTCACCCCTTGGAGGTGTCCATTTTATGAAAGTTTACTGTCTCGCTCTATTTATTGAGTGGTCCGTTCGAATACAACCGTACCCGAGGGTTCTCACTTCCGCATTCCCAATGTTTTGGTAAACTTCAGGATGATAGTGGTTTCATCCAAAGTACTCTGTTACTAAATTCACAAGATCTATTCCCACGACATCATCTGAGCCCGCGTCTCTACCCGTTTACTCGCTGGAAAACGCTGACTGATCAAAACACTATTCAGTTCATCCTCTGAAATGTGTCCCTAGCTCCTCACTATCGAGTTGAATTGTATAAGAAGCTCCTAGAGCTCGACGGGCACAATGTTGATTTCGGTGTCGACTCTAAAAAGATGAAAGAGGTTGGGGGTTATAGTCTGGTTCTGCCTAACCGAGGTCGTGCGCACACCCCAATGGACACGATCGCGGTACGATCAGCTCTGACTGAAGCCGGGAAAACCATACCAATAAACAACGACTATGATGGCGCGCGTAGATCCCTCAAACGTCGACAAAATAATTAACGGCGCTGATGAATCGTAAAAACCCGGGAAATGTGGCCCTCTGGATCCGCACAGATGCTCTCTTTCACATTAGCAGAAACCTCAGTAAGCGGTTTCGCATTGAGCAACAGTAATTGACCCACGCCACCTATAGCTATTGGCGATGTGGTCTATGTGTGTTGTAGGTTGGCTCGTATGAGATAGAAACCATGCGGCTTCGGACGTTTCGGAAGTTAGCTCTACACAGAAACAGTCTGTGGTTAGTAGATAAATGCAGCAGGCGCTCGCCTTTGTCCGTGAGTCTCGATTCCAGTTCACGGTGACCAACCAGTTGAGCTTCCACAGTGCTAAGTATACCTGATTGCACATTCATATCCCCGGGAACCACAACAAAATCCAAGTACTTAGCCCTCCGCAACACTGTGATGATGATGCACAAGCTGTCTTCAAGTATATCAGAGCTACAGTCTGTTCGAGCGCAAGTGGATTCAATGAACAGAAAGCGATTATTGGCGCATTTACAGGACCCTCATAGATATTGCTGCACAGAGACGACTTTCGACTGGCAACCATTCAACCAGAGACCATTCAGGTCGGTGGCTTAGAACAATACCGACTCCGGTGTAACCAAAAAAGCAGCTTCTCGAGATCGCCAGAGGTGCACAACCAAAGGCGAACGGAAACATATGACAATGTTGTTTCAAAAACCGCACTCGTGTCTTAAATACTTCTCACCGATGGACAGTATACTTACTCAGATTCTTGGCTTTTTAATGCTGCCTTGGAGGAAAACGGCTATTTGTAGGCATATTTTAGCTCTGTCTAGGTCTTATGTTGGCATATTTCGATTAGTCCACTTGATTTACCCAGCTAGCACCCTTCCGGTGCCTAGTTGCCATGCCACCCGAAGGAAGCATGAGGGCTCGGATACTGCCAGGTTGCCCAAGCCTAGAAAGAGTGGCGGAGGTCGGATTCGAACCACGGACTTTCTGTTCAGTAAATTCGCGCTTTAACCACTTGAGCCATCTCGCCCACGTAGTGGTAACCTCTTTGTGTTTATCCACTGGATATGTCCGACCCAGAGATGTCACCGTGTCGTGGTGGTCGGGCTTCTAATCTGCAATGATCCTGCGGCATATACTGGCTGGAACACAGTTCCTAAATGTTCATCCATGCCAGAAAGGCCAAGGGGGAGCAGCCCGATGAAGAACAGCGAGTTCCCGTACTGCGAGTAATCGTATCACGAGGCAGTCTGGAGGCAAAGTCGTACTGTCCTCTGCCATAGGAGTGTGGAGGCAGTAAAACACTTCATCCAGACAACCAACATGTCCATATTTATGGAAGCAGCGATGCTGCCTTCCCACAAGGAAGGGCGGGTTAGTGAAGAGTAGCCCTAAAAACC